CAGTGACTGGCGTGAAATTCACAGTTCTGAGAAGATGTGGTGGCTCCCCATAAATTGTCCATTTGGAAGAAATTGCTTCTTCCATGTTTGTAAACTTTTGAGTCCCATAGTTCAGTGCAGCTCTGGGATTTTCAGAGGGATGGGCGGTATTGCAAAGCTCCTGCACAGGTCTTGAAAAAAGGGGCTTTGATTTTCGGAATCGCTCAACATCCCTGTACATGTGACCTGTGGCAGGGGAGATAAAGATTAGTGTTCTGCAGTCCAAAATGAACACTGCTGTAGGCGTATAAGCACCGTGTTTCTCGATGTTTGGCTTCGTGACTGAGTTTTGTGCTTCTCCGTGGAGGCAGTCGATTTAAATTACTTTTCAGGTGTTCTGTATAACTCCTCTGAGATGTTAGGAAAATGCTGTAATCCAACTTTCCTGAAGGGTCAAAAAGAATCAAAGATCTCAAATTCCTGGTGATGACTGATATAAATGTATGATACCTGAGGGTTCTTTCAGGAAACATTTTACTTGCCAGTCGTCATATTATGAATTATTAATTTGTGAATATAGTGTTTCCATTACATTGAAAATACAGATAAGTGTTCATTTGTGGGCCTGGAAGATGAACTTTTTCTTGACATGGATGTAGTGCTGGTAATAGGACACGCTGCCTTAATTTTTCCGATTTGGTCCAGAGTGTGAATTTAAGAAGCATCTGCATCCAGCTTCCATGTTTATGGCCGTAAAGGGTTTTGAATATTCAGCGTGTCAGATGGGGCTCTGCGTGCGTGTATTTCTGCACCGTCTCTCTGCACGTCCGTCAGGAGAGCCGCGTCTGCGTGCAGGATGTTTCCTGCGCCAGTTATTGCCACGAGCGTGGAAGCTGTTTCACATCGCTCGGGAAGCTGTTTCACATCGCTCGGGAAGCTGTTTCACATCGCTCGGGAAGCTGTTTCACATCGCTCGGCAGACACGCGCTATTCCCAGTCATGCAGTGGGTGATGGAAGTGAGTTGCCAATCTGTGTGTGAGATAAATCATTCTTCGTTTTACCGGAACCGAACCGCCCTGATCAGAGCACAACTTTCAGAAATGAAGTATAAAATTAAATAATAAAATATAAATGTATATTTTTATGTTTAATCACTTTTTTCCTGTTTGTTTGCCTCTTTATTTTATTTACGTTATTTGCGTTATAATTATTTGTGACTGCCCCCCCCCCTGCCCCCCCTTGTTTATCTCGATTTTGACACGATCGTCATGCAGTGCAGTCCCTGTTAGCGCCGTGCCGCTTTTGAGATTCTCCAGAGGCGATGAATGCTGTTAGCTGAATGCGTTGGCTGCCCGGCCGTCGTGTGAATATTCATGGCCCCCCGACGGCAGCGGAGGTTTCTGCCCGGCTCACATGCCCCCCTCGTGTTGCCGAGAGGAGCCCAGGTGGCTCGAGATGATTGGGACAGAGGCCTTGGTCCTGACAACCTCTCATTCTCACACGCAAAGACACACCGATCTGGGCCTTTGGTGGAAATGACGCTGGCAGGGACACCTGCCAAATTAAAATTAAAGGTGGGGGGGGGGGGCAGAATCCCAACCAGCAGATTAACTTGGCGGCCGAGAGCGCTAGATTGGACTACTTGGGTGAATGATCAGTCACTGCACGTCCAGTCAAGGTTGTTACTGGTCATTCGCTGGGTGTAAAGTATAATTGTCTATGAAGACCGCGTAGCAATCTGTCACTCCACAGCCTGGTGGAGTTTGAGTCCCTCCCCCATTCTGCGTCTGTGTGGATTTCCTTCAGGGGCTCTGGTTTCCTCTCTCAGTTCAAAGACATGCAGACAGGTTAATTGGTGACTCTGAATTGTCAGTAATGTGTTTGTGTGTGTGTGTGTGTGGGCACTAATGACCTTCCAGGGTATCCCCTGCCTCATGTTCTATGCTGTGGATAGGCTCCAGGACCCTACGATGCAGTATTGGATGGATGGATGGTTGGTTCTGGATTATAATAGGTTACTAACCCTCCTCTGTACTGAGTTGGCACTTTGGGTGCTTTTTACTAATTAAACCCCATGCGCATATTCTAATTTTAGTCATAATTAGTTCAAATAACAATAAGTAAAATGTTTTTATCTGTGAGTGTTTGGTTTAGCATAGAGGAGCTAGTTTACTGGTGCTAGAAGGAAGAAGTAGGTAAGGATATTTAGTTATTGGGGCAAGGGGCCTTTTTCTGTATATTCATTCGATTGTAAAACAGCTTCTGCTGGATGCGAACTGGTTAAAAAATTCATTAAAAGAAAGAGGAAAAACAGGTCACAAGAAAACAGTCAGTGCTCTTGAATGCCGTGTTTCCATATCAGGATGCATGGCTCACTGGCAGCCAGAGTAGCTCTGCCTCTGTCTCTGTAACAGGCAGACTGACTTCTGCCTTCATGTCCCTTTAATTAACGTTTGATTCATTGTTTTAATATGTAAAATATTTAAATGTTTATTTTTTAATGACTGTCTACTAGCAAACAGAGAAGCTTCCTGAATAATAGAAGGTTAAAATATTTAATTAAATATTTGGTATATTTAAATTAAAATTAGAACAGTTATCGGGTGGCTAGAATTTTATTTGGGTGGAAGTTAGCATGCAAAATAGTGATAATCGTGTGAATGTCATGGCCACTCTCATCCAGATTTCTTTAGAAATGTAAACGTGTCATACCTGTAGAGACCAGACGTGTCACTAGCCTGCGGCATGCAGGCCAGAGCCCCCAATGATTCGTTTACCTCACGTTTTAACAACTATGCCATCACCATGCATGACAGTAGTCATGGCACAGGCTGCATTTCCGGAAACCTTCGTAGTGCTGTGATTGATGACCCGCTTTTTCATCTTACCAGCTGCCCTGCCGTTTTGACCCAAATCACTCCTTTACCTGAGCTTTACCGAGGACGTCAGCGCTTCCCCTTCAGACCATATGATTTCCCCCGTTCCAGGACCTACTCTGCGTGCGCTGTTTCCTGCTTCTCATTCCGCATCATTCCTCTGCGCTAATTGGTCCAATTAGTAATTAATCATGCACTTTCTTCATACCCCCCGTGCCATTGGAGAAAGTAAAATGCAGTATTTATTATGTTGATGGATAACCTGAGGTCATCTTTATAACAGATCTGAAATATTGAAGCAGTTTGCCCAGCTGAGTAATTAAGACTAACAGCTGAAGACTCTGTCTTCTTTTCAGACTTGAAAACTTGACAGTTAAATTCAGAAGGTTTAATGCGGCTCTCAGAGAATCAAATGTGAAATTCTTGGGACACGGGGAGTGTAGTGAAGGATTCCCCCCTCCCTTACATTTATTTATTAAGCGGTTTCGACTTGTGCGAGAACAATGGGAAGCTGGATTGGCACCAGGACCCATTTCTTAATGAGTCACCGGTGGGCAGCGGATCGGCGTTTGACGGGAGGAGATCTTGAGACATCAAAGGACCGTGTGATCAAAGCTGGCTGCTTTTTGTTCTGTTGTGGCTGCTTTCCATGAAGGAGGTCCTGAAGCTTTTTTTTTTTTAAAACTGCTGAAACACTGATATTCCAGTTGGGTGGTAAAATGAGGGGGGTGTTTGGATGAGCGATCTCGAGCAGAGGTGTCAGAAAGCCGAGCCGGGCTGCGATCTGACACGTCCTGCAGCTCGTCTTGACCGGAGCGTCTGCAGTATTTCTCCATGCCTTTCAGGGAGTAAATATTCCCAGAATGCGGATGTGCTGGGAATGCGCCCACTTGCCTACGCAGGCTTGTTTTTTGCTCTCCGTATTAACTGACAAGCCAAAGTTGTGCCGGCACGTTAATCTGATGCCCGGCTGCGCTCCACGGGAACAGCGGACCTCTCTCCCGCCTGGAGGTGCACTGCCGATGAATGCAGGGGTAGCTGGTCTCGCAGTGTCAGCCCCCCGGTGTCTTTCTCGGTGACACCGCCCCAATCGACTCTGGAGCCCTTAAGCAGCACTATCCGTCGTGCTTTAAGGGAGTTTCCCGGCTCTGCATTCGCCGTCCTCGCAGTGCATTCGCCGTCCTCGCAGTGCATTCGCCGTCCTCGCAGTGCATTCGCCGTCCTCGCAGTGCTGTGGCCTGCAGTCGCTTCATGCTTCAGCTCCTCCTGATGGCACCACTGCGGCCCGATCGGTGCTTCGGTCGTTATCCGCGCTGCTGCATCTTTCTCCGCCTTCGTACGAGCCCCCGACCCCCAGCAAGTGTCCTGAGTTGTCCTTCAACTCCCCCAGAACAGGTCTGCCCCCCTGCCACGGCTCGCGTTTAAGGAAGGACGTTTGCAGTGGCTGGCCCCGGACTGGGTGCAGCTAACCTGCTTTCCATCCGAGCGCCTTTTGCTGGATAAACTGCTCGGAAGCTTTCGTGCCGCCTCCCGCTTTTCCACAATCCGCTTAGGCTGATGCAGAACAGAGCGGCTCCGGGAGGGATTTGCGGCGGCAGTCCTGGTGCCGCTCTTGGCAATACCATAGGCAGGGTAGCTGTGGTTTTATTTGGCTGTTTTTCTGCAGTATGAAACGTCATAAATGTGTAATAAGTAGCGGCCCGAGCGAATTTAATGACCGTGGCTTGGCAGCCATGTCAGAGCCTTTTTCCAGGAAATCTGGCTTCACACCTGCAGGGTTCTCTGTTCTGTCTTTGCACGTGGAGTTTTTATATTCTCCATGTTTGCATGCATTTCTTGCCAAAAACATCCAGTTAGCTCTGATTGTGTCTTTAAAACACCCAGAATGTGTTAGTGTGTGTGTGTTGTGTGATAGACTGGCCTCCCATCCAAGCTGTCCCAGTGCATCCTGGGATAAGCTGCAGGCTTCTCGTTGACTCCATGCTGGCTGCTTGTGGATGGATGGTACTGGGAACTAGAGGCAGAGTATCGTTGCATCTTGGTTATGGTGTATAATTTGAGCATTACTTTCTGTCTCTGCTCTGAAAGATTGTCTAGAATCTCTTTATTTTCCCCATAATGGAGCCTGTTGTCTTTGCTTGCAGCGTGATCCAGGATAAGTTCTGCGGCATCATTAATGTCTGCGTGGAGGCGCTACACGACGTGATGACAGAAGATCCCGAAACAAGCACGTTTAAAGAGTAAGTCGAACCCCAGATTCGAAAAAGGCACGATCAATGCCTTGCGTTCGTTTTAGAGTGTCACAGTCAAGAAGAAACTGAGCACTCGAGAAGCTGAACATCCTATCTGACTTCTCTTCTGGCAAACCGGCAACCTCGCAACAATAGTTTTGCATCTCGGAACACAGAACTTTTCAACCGAAACACTGGAGGCTCTGTAGTCGGTCAGGCTTCAGTCCAGTAGGGCAGGTTCTTCTGACGTATTGCAGGTTGTGCTAGTGCTCTGATACAGACTGTTTGATCCGTAGATAAGGCTGTGCACATGCGGCACTGGAGCTTAACGGCCCGTTCTGCCAGCACTGTGCATGCCTCGCCCCTGTCAGTGAGCGTGTGCATGTTACTGAGTAAGCGGCAGTGTGCTACCCTCTCGCTCATAGCCGCTAGCTTAGAGTCAGTGACCTGAGGGCTACTTAAACGTACGTATATAAATGTCTGTAATGAAACATGCCCCCCTCCCCGCAGCTGCATGCTGATGACCCACTTTGAGGAGCCCAAGCTGACTGACGATGAGGAGCCCCCAACAGAACAAGACAAGAGGAAGAAGCTGGTAAGGGCGTAGGGGCGGGGTCAAGCTGGGACACTGGGATTGGCTGATTGACAGTGATGCGTGTTATATTGTGACCTTGTGCGACCTGCTGTTAGGTCAGCCAGGTCTGATTTATCAGTATTCATTATTAAGGGCTGGTCAACTTGCATCGCCTCACTCTCTTCATAGATCTTTATGGCCATTTCTCCCCCATTGTCACTTAATATTCATGACTTTGGTTCCTCAGTATTAAGTGGTTAAGCGGCAAGTTAGCTGGCGAAATTCTTTCCAGATGGTTACGAACGATTTTTGCTTGTTCAGCTCATATTTTATTGATAGAGAAAGTCCCCCCCCCAGTCCTTGTTCAGCGCTGTAGTGTAATTTATTACAGGTGATTTTCTCCTTGGTAGTCTGTGTCAGTCTGGGTGAGACACTCAGCCCCCTTTATAGTGGTCTGCTGCCCCGTACAGAATCATCACACACTCGCGTCCTGAATCACAGTGACTGACTTTGATCACAGGCAGTGATAATCAAGCTGCAATCCTACAGGCCTCTGACAGTTTCAGGGGGAGGCCTTTATTCCACAGGTCACCCGGCTCCTGAATCAGCAACGCTAACATGGGTATCATAACATATTACCCCAGCTTTGTGTAATTAAGCAGCTTTTTTATTTGCACAGTGATGATTGGTTGGCACCGCAGTCTGGGTTCCGAGCCTGGCAGCTCAGCGTGTCTCTACAGCCCTTGCTGGGACTCTTATTACCTCATTGGTCAGCTTTGAGCATGTTACGCAGTGTGGCAAACTCCTCTGTTTATTCACTGTACCCATTATCCTGCCGTACACACACCCGGGCTAATTTCAGGCTCTCCGTGTTTCCCTCGCTGTCGCTCCTCTTGTGATGCAGCGGCCTCTTGCAGTGCATGCATCCATGCAGCCGTCACGCTCGTTAGACCTCGAGGGAAGGCTTCGTGATCTGAAGCTGGAATGCCGCCTGAGAAGCACAGGGTGACCTCTGATGATACGTGAGCGGCACGTCCTGTGTGGGGTTCTGCAGACCCTTGCACATTTCCAGCCCCTCGCTCCGCCTGTTCCCGTAAGGAGGTGGGCTGCCAAACCAGCCCCAGGATCTCCTGGCTGCCTAGACCCACTCAGCTTCTCCCTTAAGCCTAATCTGCTCCCACTATCCTGCGCCCTCTGTGCAGCGGGGCGGAATCAGCTGACCTCGAACCCAGGGCCGACTGCTCATGCTAATCCAACCAGGGCAGGGCAGCGAGTGTCACTGAAAACCCCACTCACCATCAGACACCATTTTTCTAGCATGTACAGCCATTACCAGGGAACAATCAGTCTACTCCTGTATGCCCCCCCACCCCTCCCCGTTTCTGCAGGGAGTTACAAAACACATTTAACAGCATTATGATCAATATGCCATGGGTGGGAACTTTATACACCATAAGTCAGCCATGAATTCATAAGTGACAAGGTTGATAGTTGTTGCACAGTGTTTGTGACGGAGGGACTAGGAGCCAATCAGCAGTGGCGGAAGGGTGAAATACTGGGAGCTCGATCGTTTCTCGGGGAAGCTCATTGGGTTCTGAACAGCATGGTACCTGATGCACTTCCAGAACATTCTGGCTGTGCGGAATCGCAGCATCTTTCAGCCAAGTAAGGGAAGCGGGCTGTTAGAAGGCAAATAAATAGATTTATAAATTAATCAAGCCCGTCGGCTTTTAAATTCCAGGGCAAATAGTTATGAAAAGGGCAGGTCCCCAGGTGAAGAAGGGAAAGGGGTGTGGCTAAAAACAACGACAAAATAAAACCTTAGGAGGAGAGATGAGAGATTAGCCCTCTGAATTATTCATTGCCGCCAAGTTTTCATTTATTTCTTTACCCGCACTCCCCGTTCATAATGTCTAAAATTGAATGTAAATTGCGAATTCATGAGCTGAATGGGGCTTTCCTTTTGTTCTGCTTGAAGCAAACAGCCACCTTATGACAGCTGTGGGACTCATCTGCTTTCATTCCATTGTGTTTTGCCCTAACATACCTTTAGGGGGAGTAGTGACTGACTGACTGGCTGAGCCCCCCCCCCCCCGTTTTTTCCACATCTTTGTAATAATTTAAGTCTTTCCAACTCCCTGCCACCCCAGTGATGTTTTTCCGCACACCGCTGTTGTCTTGAGCTGTTATTGCTGCACTTGTGACCTTCCCGTTAGCTTGAACAAGTCTGCCCATTCTCCAGTGACCTCCCCCATTAACGAGGGGCTCTCAGACTCAGAACTTCCACTGACTCCACGCTCTTTGTTTATCGCACCGCTCTCTGTTAAATCTGGATATTGAAGTGTGTGGAAATGCCGTAGAGGCGGCCATCTCTGAGCTGCTGGGACTCACCACGCCTGGCACTAGCTATCACACCACATGATCGCTTGGATCATCCATCTTAGCCGTTGTAATGATTGACCACACAGTAAGTGACACTCTTGACCCTGGCTGCCTACGGTTTGTATTCAGGCTGTTTACATTAACGAGCAGGTGAAGCTAATAAAGTGGCCGCCGAACGTATTATTACCTTCATAGTGAAATAAATATGAAATCTTTATTTCCCGACTAGATTTATCAGAATACTTTAACCGCTGTCTTGTTGATCACGTTTTCTGAGTAAACCTGTGCGCAGAGCTTTCTTGTTATGGACCGTAACCTTTCTGATCAAAGACCTAGTTCAACCCAGCTGGAAAATACAGAATACTCCGGAGATGAGTTTACCAGAGCGGCAGTGTGGAATGACGATGAGCATGGATGTGGCCGCTGCCATTTATCACCACCAGGGGGCAAAGGTGCTCGAGAAGCATCATGCTGGTGTATCACAGTAGTTTTAATAACTTGATTCTTGTATATTTTTCCCTCTTTAAAAGGAATGTCTGTGAAGTCAAAATCTAAATCTTTCCCAGTCTGAGTTCCTCACTGTATATTTGAACAATAATTATAATCAGGTTCATTCCAGTCATCCATACTCAGACTGGTTCTCCTGGTGAGTTTTGTCGAAGCAGCATGTCAAGCTGATCAGAACATACCTCTCTTTCCAAGCCTACAGACTCTTGCTGGTTCTGGGGGACCTCCAGACATTCCCAAGCCAGCTAGGAGATGTCATACTTTTGGCGTCTACTGAATCCCAGTGGCACATGCCCGGAACATCTCCCTTGAGACCCACCCTTGTAAGATACCCAAACCACCTCAGCTGGCTCCTCTTAATATAAAGGAGCAGCGACTGTGTATTCAAGCACTTTCGAGATCTTCCAGCTCCTCAGCCAGTCAGAGAGTGTGTCCAGCAGACCTCACTTCTGCTGCCTGTACTCACTACCTTCTTCTTTTGGTCATCACTCATAGCTCATGACTGGGAGTGGGCATATGGCCATACAGAGACTGGCAAACCGTGAGCCTCTTTGCACCCATTCAAAAGAGCACCGTGCCCTCAGACATGGGGGCTGATTCTCATCGAGAGACTCACCCGAGAGGGGTGGAAGCTGAGTGAAGAGTGCAGCAGCAACTACGAAGGGGCTGTAGATGGGGGGAGGTCTGGGGTAAAATCTGTCCCAGAGCTCTAGTCAAAGTGGACAAATAGGTGATTATGACCTTTGGTTGGAGTTTTCCTATGGAAAGCATGTTTTTTGACTGGGGGGAATGCGGAGAGCCTGGGCGGAGACTCGAACCCTGGTCCTGGAGGTGAAAGGTAGCTGGGCTGCTCCGTGGCTCGAGTTTTATTAGTATTAGAAATATTACAGGTTGTTTTCCGTTGGTCAGGTACGCCTGTCGGTAGAGGGAGACTGAGTGTGACGAGCCTCCGTGGAAAGGGTTCGGTAATAGGAGCTGAGCCACGTTTACTGTACTGGCCGCATGGGATTTACTCGTCTTTAATCTGCATTTGCAGCGCTCCATCCATCAAAGTGGAATCAGCAGGAGCAGCAAGCGCAGTGCGTTAAGCAGCAGGCTGTGGCATCTCACAGCAGATGAGGTGCTCGTCCTGCGTGTCGGCCATGACACCTCTGGCCTGTTTAGTAAGTATAAGTTTGGGGGAGCTTGGAGTGTTGGACCATTCAGTTCTGCATTTCTTAGTTGGGTAAATGCTGCCGCATCCACTAGCCCCACTTGCATTGACGGGTACTTGAGAATTAGGGAGGCAAGACGCAAGCTGGTAGCGATCGCCACTGAATCCGCATTGTTCCGCGCCCACCAGAGTCCTCCGGCAGGGGATGGCATCGTTAAATTGTGTACAGTTGTTGTTCAGCCCGTGTGCCACACGCTAAAGCTGGTGGAGCCTGACTGCGACTGTCTTTGTTCTCAGATTCGCCGGTGATTTGCCGTAATCCTGCCGAACTCTGCTAGCTGATCGTTTATCTGCTTATTGAAGCGATTCGGGCCCGAGCGCAGCCCCCGCAGTCGATGCGCACCCATTGACAGCAGTGCGTTAATGTGTCCGCCTCGCGGCTGCCGCTCCTCGATTCAGCATGACGTGCAAACAGCCTCCTCTGGCTTTCAGGCTTTGTTTCCCTTGCTGTCCTCCCACCTGTGTCCTCATGGGGCATCTTTCTGCCAGTTCTTTTTGCTTTTAAGTCGTCTAAAAAGTTGTTCCTGGAATTTCAATGTATTTTTCCATTGTCAGAAGCTCCAGGTAATCTTAATTTGGTCTCCTAATATGGCCATTTCTTCTTGCCTTGCCCGTCTTGATGATCTTGACATCCTTTGGGCGGGGAAACCTCATTCCGGTGATGACGTATGCGTTTCACCATTTACTAGCTCAGCTTCCCCCCCACCTCTAGCCTCCCCCAGCAAGGTCTGCTGTCGCCGAAACCCAGTGCAGCCCAGTCTGTCCGTGTCTGAGGGTGCTTCTAAGCAGGGCCACCGCGACAAGTGTCACCGACGGGTGTGACATGACGTGAAGCTCAGTCATGTTACATGAAAGATGGATATTTGATGGGAGGACCTTCTGATGCTAGAAAAAAAGGAGATCTCCACCTTCAGTTTGG